GAAAACCCACACTTGGAAAAAGGGGACCCCGCCATATAAAAAAAAAAAGGCAAAAAAAAAAAAAAAAAAAAAAAAAAAAAAGAGTATCTCTGAGAAGATCATTTTAAGCATTGGCTTTTGTAAGTGTTGGTGTCTGTCAATCATCCTCACCTGTTCATGAACAATAGGATTATTTCACATATTGGGTCATAAGCCACAGGAAAGCTGTAAAGATATCAAAGGATTCATATCGTTGCCAAAAAGTGGGCTATCCTCAGCTGGTCTTTTATGAGCCCATTGCGAGGAAAAAAAAGATTTCAATGCAATTAGGCTTTACCATACTGTTTCTTTGCATGTGCTCCATAACTCTGCTCATTCTGACTCATCTGCATTACGCAGAGCCAGAATTATGCTGACAGAAAGAGACCTGCAGGAAAAAAAGCGAGGCTTGATCTATAAAAATATACTGGTAGATTCAAAAGTCGAAGTTGAAGTAATAAGTCAAATATAAACCGAAAACTGATTTTTAACAACTCACTAAATGTTTCAGTAAAACATTGGAAAATTCAAAACATAATTTCCAAGGGCAATTTAATAACAATAAACAGAAAATGATTTAGCTGGAAAGTTAGTCTAAAATATAAGGAATAATCTTAAATGCTGTGAGTTGGCGAGTTGTAGAAAAAAAAAAGAAGATTTGATCAGAAAAGTTCTCAAAGAACAGCAGACCTCCTGTCCTCGGCCCTCTTCCCAGATTTGCTGGATCTGATATGGGGATACATCAGGTTAGCACTCAAGGTCCCACTGCGGCTATTACCTGACTAACTCAACACTGCAGTGCTGCCAGCCAGGCATACACTGCCTCAGCAACACACATAACACCGTCTGTTAGCAGGACCCTTCCATTGAATGAATTACCGTTCAAGCCCTGGCTAAAAACTCAGAAGGTGTGGGCGCATGTTTGAGCAAACCCGATAGTCTTATTTCTGCATTAATTTACTCAAAGTTTCATTAATCAAATGGCTGCTGTTCTGCCTAATGGGTGAAGACTTTAAAATCAATATAGTACAATGTTAACCTGTAAAGACGGAAAAACAGCCTGTTGCACTCCCCTCGTCGTATTATTGTGGATTAGTTTTAAGTTTCGATGGTAGACAAAAGTCCACATAAATAATGGTAAAACATGCAATTACAATGCATCCTATGCTGTAGAAACAAAACACTCACCAAGGGAAAACAAGAAGAGAAGTTAAAGGCAGTTTGTTACTTTGGGCATCATTCTGTGAGGAAACCCTGGCTTCTCCCATTCATGGAAATGTTCATTTTACACACAACAGCTACCTAAGCTTTGTTAAAGATGTTAATCAGTACTTCCTGTAGTCTTTTTAGTGCCCCTGCCACACAGCAGAAATGGGTCAGAAGTGTCTGAAGTACAAAAGACAAAGAAGAGTACAAGAATGTCGAATTGGTCTAATTCCCTGGATATCAATCAAATCCAACATCTGTAGAATGTGCTCCAAAAAAATCTAATCTATGAAATCCACAAGTCACAGCTTACAAGACATAAAGGATCTACTGCCAACACAATGGTGGCCGATACCATGGAAAACCTTTAAGGAATCAGTGGAGTCCATGTGCAGATGCATCAGAGATGTATTGGCAGTAAGGAGGACCACAACACAATTAGGTTGGTATGATGTTATGCCTGACAGCAATATCTCTGAGAGCCAACTTATCTACATTATTCCTGTAGCACTATAATCAATCAAACACATTTACTCACCACACTGCTGATTTCTGTGAGAAGCTGCTGGAGGAAATCTCTCAGTCTCTTCAAGTGCAGGGAAATGTCTTTCCATGTGTGTGGAGTGTCAGTTTGGCCCCAAGCGATGGCTTTTTCAAGCCAGAAGGGCATCTCCTGAACATTTGGCCAGTGTGCTGTTGTTTGCTGGACCTGCAGCTCAGTCATTTGACGTTTTCCACAGGCAAATTTACTTTTGAGCTTAAAGAAATCCTAGGAAACAGCAATAAATGTGCCATTAAAGTCAAGAATTACACAGAAATTGTCATGAAACTTGAACTTTACCATCATATTTTGTAAGTATCAAGACAGAATCACGGCGAATGGGATCTTGGCGGTATACCATTTTTCTGTTAGCATATTTGTGGATATAGATGTTTGATTTATTTTGACATCTCTTCGTTTCCCACTATCCAGTTTCATTGGCTTCAGATGTTATGCAGCACTAAGCATTTATAAATAAATGAGAAAAGACAATAAACCAATTTGTTTAACCTGAAGAAAACACAAATTGCATTTGGTGAGAACAAGATTGAAAAATAAGGGAAACTTTGTTTACAGAAAAACTCCAGATTTACTGTTACAATGACAAATAAAAACTGAGGTTCACTTCTTTTAAACAGTGAAAAATATTTATAAGGGAACTTTTTCTAGAAAAAAATTTATTATTAAATAAAATCATGATTTGTCTACACTTGGTACAAAGTAGGAAATAATAAAAACATAAACCAACAGTCTCTAGTTGGCTGCTCAATGACATAAAGAACAGCATAAGATCCTAACTTAAAAATGATAGCACCGTCATAACATTTATTAAATAGAGAGAATATTGCTGATAATGTTCATTAATAGAAAGTAGACAACCATCAACAAAGACATTGTCACAATTAGAGATACAGAGAGAAAGTTATTAGATGGGGATGTATGATATTAGAAAATTATTGGTAAATATTGCTTTCATGATATTATGTATGCTCATTTCATCATTCAACTCTCATATGTGCTTCCTTCAGTCTGTGATCTTAAGCATTTTCTCCAGTCTCTTGTGCCTGGTGTGAATATCTGATGTCATCAAGATTCTGCGCAACTGGCTAAACATTACGTTAGGATGTAAAATCCAAGTTGATAACACTTGGAATATATTACTCAACAATTATTGTGCTCCAAACAGTTCTTTGCAATTTGAATATTGTGATGATGATGGATTTGTGCAGACTTAGCATTAATCTCCCCTCAGTGCTCCATCTTGTTTATTCTCATTGAGCTTGATTTTCAACCTGACCAATCAGCAAACAGAAAGAAGAGTTATGAATGGTTTGACACTGATTTCCTGCGCCATTTCAGAATTGAAGTATACCTTTGCAGTTTGGCAATGGCAGCGGAGGAAGTGAAAGAAGCTATTCAGTCCGTGTTGGACACGCTTCAAAATACTGAGCAATTAAAGTTGGAGGAATATTTAAGATATTTTATTGCTGGCAACGATGATCCTTCTCCCCACTGGAATGTTTACAGCTCACGCAATTTCCGGTAAGTTTTATTGAGCTGGTGCTTTACACATGTCCCAGCCAAATGTTTAAAAATTCAAGAGAGTCCATGCCTCCCGCAAGCAATCGCCAAGGGTCCCAATCGTCCGTACGTAGAAAGCGTAGAACAAGCGGCTGGTTTTTACAAAGGCTAGTATTAAATAAATAGTTAAAAACAGATGCTTTTGACAATTACGTCAATATCTGCATATGTGGCCTACATCCTCCATAGCCACCCTTGCTCTCATAGGAGGTTAATAGAATAAGTGGAATGAATAAAAAAGAGGAAATAAATTGTTTTGATCTAGTTATTCTACCCTCTTATTACCACAATTTAATGATCACATTCCTGTGATCCAGGCAATATCTTCTACACATCCAAGACTGCCTACCGAGAAATACATCCTCATACACACCCCAAGGGTGTGTATGAGGATGCGTTTCATGTCTGCATATAGCTCGAGAATCGTGTGTGTGCGTGTTTGTTGTGTTTTGCCATAATGACAGGTCTATGTGGGACACCACAGGCTTGTATTTTATGATCACCTCGTAACACACGATTTGTTTAATGTCTTGCCATCAGCTCGGCTGGAAAGCCCCTATGGCACGCTGAAATGAATATATAAATACTCATTTCAGGGAGGAAAAATGCCAAACCAAATTAGGAACAAACGCCTCTCGTTGACTTGTCTCTTAGGGTCTCCATTTTCAGAAAAACTGAGGGTGAGCCTAAAAGAAAAACAACCTTAGCAGAGTTTCATCAACATCTCTGTCCTGTCCATAGTTACAAGTACATATAGGCACAGACAGAATAAAATACAGTTACAAAAAAAACTTCTAAAACTCAGGTTACAAAAAAAAAAAAAAATCATGTACATGTACAAACAGACTCAGCAGCAGCTCTGGAATCAGTTATGCACATTTTGGAGGAGGAACGAGATGTGACTGGTCAAATATTATCTTTGAGGATGTGTTAAGCTAAGTTTGTGGACTTTGGGATTTGCTGAGTTTGCTGATGTAATTATGAGATTGTTGACATTATTTTAGCACAACCAAAATCAGTTAAGCATCACTTTCTGCAAATTTACCTGCATATGATTTCCTTAGGTTCAACAAGGTTTAATCAGATGAGAAATGTATACAGTTTGATTCTGACCATGCCCCACTGCAGTGGGTCAGCAATGTGCAAGTCTGATGCATTGGTTTATCGTTTATTTGGAATATTTAAAATGTATTTCAGTTAAAGTGTTAAATGTCCATTAGAATTTAATGTTTATCAACCTTTGAGAATGAGTTCGTGCATTGTTATGCCAATAGCATAATATTACTTGAATAAGGTCCCAAAACGACAATGTTGTCATTTATCATAATAACTTCTAGGACAATTTATCATCCAACAAAATTTGTTACTGTGACAGGTCTAGTTACATGCTGTGTAAGAATAAATGTCACTGCTTCCTACAAAAATGTAGCCATTATTTCCATCCCTACCCTAACCCATCACAGATCACCAAAATTTTATATTTTGCCTAATAATAGTACCTAACCTATTTTATTTCCATTGCTGTATATACAGTGGCTGTGGACATAGAACCGGAAAGGATCAAAGACTGGACAGGTAGATAGATGGATGTCTGGATTAATGGACAAATAGAAAGACGGAGGCCTAGAGCGCATATGTGCAGTACCAACATCAGACCACAGGATGGCAGTATTTCCTCCTCTACAGGAGACAGTTTTATAAAGGAAAACTATCAATAAAAACCCAACTCAGCCTCAAACCACTGCTGTTGTATGTCAGTCGGCTTCAAAGTTAAGTTAAAGGAATACATTTAAACGTTTTAAAACTCTCTTTCATGGGTTGTTTTTAATCTTTTAGAATGTTATCAGCAACATACATAATTGACAGTCATTACCCATCGACTAGAGATTATTCAAAGGTGAACTTACTTTCAAATAATATGCGCAGCACTCAAACTGATGTATTTCCAAAGCAGAAGCTGGTCATACGAAAATATTCTTTACAGCCTCAAACGACAAAAACCTTTTTCTTTCCGCGAAAAGAAGAAACTGAACTTCCCTCTTCTATAGTGAGTTCCGGGTAGGGAAGGATCCTATTTGCTAAGAGCTATGACGTACGCGGACTTCCCCTTGGAAAGACTCCTGGGAAATGAAGTCGTACAACTCAAATTATAATTTTTTTAGTTGTATTGATTATAAAGTCAAGCATATTTTATTCAAGCATATTTATACACCAAACTTTTATAAATAACTGACTTGATTGTGTTTTCTTTTGCCACTAAATTAGATCTAAAGATCTAAATTTGAAAGTAATTTGGAGTAATTATAAACAACATTTTGTTGTTGTTGTTGCTATTGTTGTTGTTTGTTTGCATGCCAGAAATTGTTTTAAGACAAACAATTTTATTATAAGCAGCAAAGGTTATGCATGGGTTTAAGGAATACGTTAATCAATAACTTTGGTGTGTCACTGGAATGTACACAACCAACTCTGAAACTGTGCCTATTATTGGTATCTGTGTGCAGATGTAAGTGGGTGAGTGGGTTCATTCATTCATTTCAGTGTCAAACATTTTAGGTTTAAACATCAAACGGGTGAAGTAGAGTGCATTCCAGGGGCAGGAACTTAAAGGTTCCAGAGTGTGTCCCACAGGGACTTCCGAGGGGTTCCCAGCAAGCCTGGCTCAAAGTGACAAATCACCTAAGCTTTAGCCAGACCCCGAGAAACTTGCAGCAGCAGGAAACGAATTGTTTAAAATACGTAACGCCCCATGTGTTGGTTTGAGCATGCACATGTGTGTGCATAAGTGCACAGCAGGCTTGCATGAGAAAGAGATTATACACACGTAGTTGTAGAAGTGGATTTACTCATTTTTTCTGTTCTGGTGAATGCAGTCCTTGTGTCTATGTGCGGTCAAATATTTTTTAAATCATATTGCTACTTGAATTCTGCAGAGCGTTTCAGGACAGGCCCTGGTCTGTGCTATATGTGTGTGCTCACCTTGAGTAACAGCAGTACAGTTTCGTTTCATAGATAAAGAATAAGTATAGCACGTTTTTTTTTTTTTTTGCCTCTAGAGCAAACTCCAGAAGTTCTGTGGTGCATGTGAGCAAGCAGAAGTGTGTGCACTGATTTGTGAACATGTGGTGTGTGTAAGTGTTAATCTATTTTGTGTGTGTTGTCTTTTTCTTTTAATAAAAAAAAAAAAATTAGTATTTGAAGTGTTTGGGGTGAACTAAAAAAAAGGCATTTTTCTTGGTTTTTCATTAAAACGTCTTCAAACACATGGTCTTTTTAGTAAGCCACCCAGGCCTTTATAGACATGTAGAACTATCCTAATGTGTAAATGGTCATCTGTGCAGTATGACCAGTTCCTTAGTAATTTCTTTTAGTCTTTTTATAGTAGTTGCTTGTTTTTGTTTTCATTTTGTCTTCTTGGTACCAAAATACTTTTCCTCATACAGTAATCTGTATTACTGTATAATGCAGATTATACAATACATTATTTTTCCCTGTTTTGTTTCTTTATTTTTTTTTACTTAGAAAACACACAAAAATCATCAAATTTGTTCAAGAATTCACCTATTTGTTCTATCAAATGCTGTTCTTTACTTGGTGATCTGATTACTGTTCTAAAAATTTCCGTTTTCTTTATTTCATTTAAATTTAAACCAACTCTATGAATGAATGAATGAATGAATCAGCTTGTACCTTGATTGCATGCTGACGTCTGGAGAAATTTGCCAGAGTCCCTGTGATCCTGATCCAGTTAAAATGGATGTATAAATATGCATTTACCAGTTTTTAACTATCTAAATTTGATCTACATGAATCCTGTCTATGTGTCAGACTGGGATGTGCTTACAAAAAATCTGTTTTGAACAAAAAAGCTATTTTAATTCTTCATAGTGCCCCATTTTGTTGAAGTCTAAAAGGAGCAGCTGGCAAAAGGACACTATTATGCCGGCCAACTACAAAGTAATATGGGTTTTTGGTATCAAACAGGAATTGCAACCAAATGCATAGAGTAACTTCATGTTCAAACTTCCCACATTAGACACTAAGCAAATTTAACTAAACAATTAAACTGCATATTTAGCCAGACAATGTTGTATGCATACTACCTATATATATTTTTATGTAAGTAGCAAAGACAAGATGAATTTCAATGGGCTGCATCATTTATTTATCGCTGTGTTACGTTGTTGTCCTCTGTAGCAACCCACTTACCACACCCCTCATACATGACAAAACTGCAATAAAAGTACTGTTATTGTATTACATCTGTAGATGGAAAAAAAGATATAAGACATCTGGAATAAAGATGGTTTAAAATTGTGGCAACATACATCAATCCCTGACTTTATGTTTCACTGCACAAAAGCGCAGAAGATGAAAAGAAATGCCTCGCACAAAGCACTTCAAAAAGGACATTCAAATCTGGGGAGCCTCCTCTGCTGGTGTGGGCAAGACACAAAACGTGTGCAATATTCTGCCTTGAGGAAAACAATCATCTCTTACACAAGACTTATGACATTGCATCTTACACTGTCTTCTGCTTCTGAGGACAAAATTCACATGGACATATAATGAAAACACAAACATGTGCCTACTGCATTCCATCTAATATTTTAAGAACAAACAAATGTAGTCACATGGATTCACTGTTTATGTTTCCAGGCATCCTTCTTTATTGCTAGGGGAGGAAGCTGAGGATTGGTGGAGAAAAGGCGAGTGATGCTGTGACCAATGTGAAACAGCACTGCGTCCACAAGACACAAGTACAATGTGCACCAAACCTGCACTGCAACATTCTCTGCATAGTGAGAGCTGCACTTTGATATACACAACTGATTTACCAAGTGATCAATAATCTCACAATTGGTTGAAATCTTGTTTAATTAGAGTTCAGCTTTACTGAATTTTCAAGCCAACTCTGCCTACTTTAGCTATTTTTGTGTGTCCTGCGTAGTAATTAGCGCTCTCTCTGCTCTGTTTGGCACTCAGCAAGCTGCTGAGAGTTCACATTTCCAACTATCACTGCGGATGTCCAAAAGTGACAAGATTCAGCTAATTATTGAATGTTAAATGATTACCAATAGAATCTGAAGTAGAAAGCAAAGGACAAAATATTTTTGTCACTGATTAAAAAATATTTCAGTTGTTTAAAAAAAGCATACTTAACCCACCTATTGTCTTTGCTTGCTAACCCTTGCAGGATTAAGTGCCTATTTCCAGCAGTCATTGGGCAAGAGGCAGAGCGCTCACCAAACAGATTACCAGTCCATTACAGAGAAACACAGAGACATAGAGGACCATAGGAAGACACCACGTGTGACAGTCATGTTTTTGGACCATGGGAGGAAGTTGGAGTACCAGAAGACAACCCATACATGCAGGAAGAAAATGTCCAAAACGTCAGATCAGCGTTTGAACCCAGTGCCCTCTGGCTGCAAGGCAACAGTACTACCAAAAACCAGCTGCATACACATTCATTTAACTCTTTAATTTTTACATACTAGTGTTTTGCTTCAAAGGTCTACCCGTTGGTGCATTAGTAGGTGGTGAAAACACTAATAAGGCACAGATAGTGGACAGTTTATAGTATTTCATCATGCACTGAAACATAGGAGACATATATACAGTCAATAAATTACATTAAATTAGAATATTAATGACAACTTCATATATTTCAGTAAGCAAATTCATTAATAGAATTCCATTAATAAATTACAGAGACTGATGTCTTCAAGTTTATATTTCCATTAAATTTGATCATTTCCCATTTTGAATCAGACTGTTGCATCAGACCACTAAAACAATTTTGGTACAAATATGAGGGATTTGTGAGAACCATGTTTAATGCCTGCTTAAAGGTAATTATATACTAAAGACACTTCTAATGTGACAAACAAAATTGATATTTTAGTTTATTGATTATGAGTAAAGAATATGTCACAAAACAATGGCAGATGATAATTGCCTATGCATCATAATTTCAATATTTATGTTTTTTTGTTCTTTCAAAATAAGGTTATTTATAACTTTAATAGCTTTTTTTTCATATTGAATTAAATTTTTTACTTGTCAATTTCAATATCTTGCTTTTTTCTTAAATATTCATAGACTTTATTTGTTTATTTCATATTTTTAAGTTATATTATGCAATGACGTAACAATTCATCTTTGTTAATGCATTGCAGTTGTCATGTTTATGCTCTGTTTTTTCAGTAGCCAAGTCAATTCAACTTCAAACTTTGTCTTGAAGGTTCAGAAAATCTAAATTGCAGCAAATCGACTCTACTATTATGCTCGACTGATTGATATTACGTTGTTTCATTTAAACTTTTGCGACTACCACACTAAAACCTGCACAGTCTGAGACTGTGTTTAACTCAAACTATCTTTTTAGTTTTTGAACCTGTGGAATTTGAAAAGACTAAATCTGAAATGAAAGTCATTCAAAAACTAACAGGAACTTATTTGAATGTTCACTTTATCCCACGAGTTCAACAACCTGATACCAGAGCTTTTTATCCATTTTCACTATGACATATCTTACACTCACACCAACACACGAGAGAGCAAATTCAAGGGAGAGAAGGAGGGACGGAGAGTGAGACACCTGCTTTCTATTAGTCCAGTAGATTGCAGGGAAATTGAGTGGGAGTGTTAAACACAAACACATCCATCTATCTGCCCCTCTGTCTGCAATAATTACACACTTCCTGCTCTAAAATGCTTCTCTGATAGCTTTTACTCTAATTGAGTCTTTGTTTAAGCTCAAGTGTGCAGATGTAGGTATTCAACTGAGAGCATGTGTCTCTGGGAGTCTCACAACTGGTCACCAAAGTCTACAGATATATTTTGATCAAATATAAAACACACAGAGAAATATGAAAGACATCACTGTTGAGGGACATAGCCCAAAGGAGGCAATCAAGCACTTTTAGTCGGGGGAAACAATTTGGCTTTTAGGTGATCTGATGTGCCTGAGATTGAGTTATTTATAATCTGAGAAGAATCACATGAAGTCCCCATAATATACACTTATTATAGCTTGACAAGATGTAAGAATGCTCTGGAGCTATGAA